AAATATTTTGTTTTTGTATTTTCTCTTTCAGCTGTTTAACAGTTCGCCGCCTAAAGTGCCACATCAAAAAAATCATGCAAACAAAAATGTTTGCTTTCATTTATTTTTAAGAAATACAAAAACGAGAATCTGTCAAGCCTGATTCTCTCAATTTCCGTAAGGCCGTAACTTAAGAACCTAAAATCTACAGGTTCTTAAGTTTCTTACGGTAAGTTAAATTTTAACTAACCGCCAACACGGTTTCTCATATAATAGGTTTGCCAAAATATTAAGTTAAGTTAAGCTACGGAAATTAAGTCTAGACTAACTGAGCTTTTACGCTCTATCGTTCAGTCGTTGGCGAGACAGCAACGTGGATTTTCCGCTTTGTTTCATGAATGCAAAGACTCCTTGCGAGAAATATGCCTGTACATATCGTCGCTACTATCAGAGTATCCAGATTTGGCGATTTCGCGCCGATACGTTATAAAATATGTGGTTGTGAAGTGCACAGCTACTTTTTGTAACTAAGAAGAAAACAGTTTTAATTTTATGTTCCGTCTGATGGTAATTGAACCCGCAACCAATTGTATCCAGCGTCTTTGCACACTCAGTTACAGCCATACATGTGAATGTGTTTTCAAATGTTGAGTTTGAATCAACATCACAGCGCGCGATTAGTGCATTATGTCATACCATGTATGTGTGTATGTGTTGTCGCAGCTGTACATGCTTTGTATACATATACTTTCTTAATTACATATGAAAAAGCATCCGTGTAGTGAAAAATGCTTCATTTTAATACGGGCGTATTTGAGTTGAATATTTCCATTATACGTAGTGCATGTATAATGGAAAAATCCATTTTGTTAAGACTTTTCACTTGATTTAAATACGAACATTTTTAAACGGTAATCAAATAACAACGCGTTTTTTTCTCAGTGTAATGAACTGCGTTTATCACGGACTTGACTTAAGAAGCATATTAAAAGACTGTCAAAAATTTTTAATCACCCTAATCGAAGAACTTTTGAAACGATTACCTAGTCAATTCAATACTTTTACAAAAGCTTTGATTTTGTCACCAGAAAAGTGTGTGAATCACAAGAGGGCGAATTCCATGGACCTGCCAATTCACAGTTTAACTTTGAAGGAAAGAAAAGCAGCGGAAACTGAATATTTAAATCTTTTAACTTTCCCATGTAATAACTTATGAAGGCTAATAGTTTCTGCTGCAATCGTTTCTAATATCGAAAGTATGTTATCAAGGTTGAATCGCTCAATATATGACAACAACAGAAATGTAAATGATTCAGACACTACAGGTGATTTTGAAGAAATTGTGGAAATAGCTGATCTCGCCTTACTATAGGTTTTTATTTTATTTTTAGCGCCGAGCTCTTAAAAGCAGATTGTACGATTAATCAATTAATATAAGTTATAATAAGTTTAATAATTGCGCATTCCTATTGCAAAATATGTTGAATATTTTTAAAAAGTATGCGTATTTTGAAAGACAACTGTTTGTACATCACTTTTATATAAGTGATTTGTGTTATTTATTTATTATTATTTTTGCCCTCTGAAGGTATTATATTCGTTTTTGGTTTTAAAAACTATATTATAACAAGTTCTCATTTTTTAAATAAAAGATTTCTTAAATCGATTTCATGAATTTTATTTAAAAAAATTGCGATTTTTGGCGATTTTTTTTTCAGAAATTGCGCTTTTTTTAAAAAATCTGGACACCCTGGCTACCATGTCAAACTATCGAATGTGCAAAAATGCGTTTTCAATTACGATATCTTGCGCATGCGTTGAGAATGATACGCAAGTTGTTAAATCGTATAATTTCTAGTCTTATTAGAAGCAGAGGATACTGGCTTTAACAAAGTGTCGAATCCCACACTTTTTCCTAATGACAACAACATTTTTACAGCCGATTTTTACTCTCCTGAAAAATACCCATTTTCACATTTCGACAGGTTAGGTTGGGTTAGGTTAACGCCGCGAGCCGATTACGAAATTTCGCATGCGGCTAATTCCGATCCTTGAGAGCTCAGCGTTTGTTCAGAAGTGCGAGCCAAAATGCTTCCATCTCAGCCTCGCGAAGGCTGGACAGTCTAAAAGAAAGTGTGGAGATGATTACACTTCATCTTCCTCTTGACAGCTGATACAAAAGGATCAGTTGAAAATCCAAGTCTTACCGCATGCATACCAATCGCACAATGGCCTATCACAACCCCCATCACTAGCCCTTGAGAGGTAACGTGTCTCTCGACACCTTTAAGGGGTAACGATGGGTCACTCGTGTCTTGCGCTACAAAAAGTATTTTAAAGTGCCCTATAAAAACATTTTCTGCAGCAGAGAATTGTCTTCTTTTCTTTTTTTTTATGTCCCGGACCCGGTCTCCCTTAGCCTAAGAGCAGTTCGTGCTTCGACAATTCTGTGTGCAATATCCGCAGGCGCCGTGTTCAACATACGTTAAGCGCCAGTGTAGGTGAGGCTGCTATAGCTCCTAGTGAATTCCACCAGACAAGGGCTCCTTGAAACAAGATAAGCTTAAATCAGATTTCCTAGAGCTAAAGAATTAATTTGGGCGAGAGACGTCACCTTTTAGCGAAAGCTCCCCTACAGCAGTACAAGGCACCTTTCTTACACTTTTGATCACCCACCTAGTTACCTAGTACAGGTAACCCTGGGCAAGATCAAAAAGGGTGTATAGAAATCGTCCCTTAAACCGACACCCGACAGACCACTTTTTCTAGTTCCTCTGGAAGGTCGTTTACAACCGCAATCCAGAGCAAGGGAGACAGAACACCACCTTGTGGAGTGCTCCTATTGACTATACGATGAGTGCAAGCGCTCCCCCACTCCGACGCGACAGTTCTGTCACGAAGTAAGCTAAACCTAAGATACCTAGAGGAAACGTGAGAGCCTTTTCCGGCCTTCGCAATGAACGCAACACTGACAACCTCCAAGCATTGGGGATGTAGCCGGCCCTCACGCAGTTCGCATAAATAGGATCCAACCAACTGCATGACACCTTCAGAACCCTTTGCAGCTGCGCAGGTATGATGCCATCGGTCCCTGGCGACTTTAATGGTTTGAACGAATTTATCGCCCAGGCCATGTGGTGATCGTCCAGAAGATCCTGAAGTACAAAATATCGCAAAGAAGTACATTTGAGTGTAACTTCCAAGTACAAAGTACAAGAGCGAAAGAAGAAGTACTGCACTTCCGAAAGAAGTACGGTTTTCACATTATTCTTTAATTGAGATCACTAACCTTTTGAAATATTTGAAACAGTTAAAGAAATTTCAACTTAAACGATAGAGCAAGGTTAGAGCAAAAACCACATTTAGGTGTATTTCGTTGTTGCTTATCTAAAGTGTCAAAAACTGTTCTGTTTTTAGGTAAAAATACAAATTAAATTTGGAAAAAAAATGCTGCGAATTTCTTTATTAGTAAATTTTGTGTTCTTCTCGAAGCATTGATCCCTCATATGCCCAGTAATTAGCGTTTGTGCTGCGGAGTTAGGTGAACGTTCCAAACGATGCTTTTCAATCGCTTGTTTTGTATGGGAAAAGGTTTCAGATGCAAAAAGGTTTTGACAGGTTATATTTTTTGTGAGAAGAAATTAAAAATATTTGACATTTTAGGGACCGAATAAAATCAAATCAGCTGCTCTGCTAATATTACCTGTTCAATATGCCTTGGGTAGTACAAAACATTGCAAAAAAGTACATTTGACTGTACTTCGAAGTACGAAGTACAACGGCTCAAAAAGAAGTACTGCACTCAGAGCTGCCAGACGTTTAGAGTATAAAATCCGTACACGGACAAAAAGTGGTGGGTGAAAAATCCGTACAAAATCCGTACGCTTAAATTTGTTTGGCGAGCAAAAAAAAAAACAAAATCGTTTGTACTTAGGGGAACACAGGAATCGGACTTTTAATAACATCAAATAAAGCAGCACATATTTCCACTAGTCCTATTTATTGATTGCTTCACAGACAACTTTATTATTTTTCTGACTAGAACTTTTTAACAAGCAGTGTGTTCCAGTTTATGTACATGCAACAAAACTTTTCAGTTTTCGAACCTACCGAGTAACAGGGTAATGTTTGAAGCGATGGTTAAAGTGAAAAAAATAAAGAAAATTAGGGTTTTTTTTAATTTTAAAGGCCATGTTTAATTTTTAAAATCGGCTGAAAAATAGTAAAGCTTTTAATAGAAAAGTCTCAAGTACGAAAACAACGCATTTTTTAATAAAAAAAGGGAAGGTTCAGGGAATATCAGAAACCTATGAGATATGTGTAAAGAAGGAAAATTTTCACAACATGAAAAAGACACTCCGAAAATCCGTACAAAAATCCGTACATCTTGACGGAAAGCTAAAAATCTGTACATTGAAACCGTATAACCATTTTCATCCCTGCACATCCGTACCGTACGGAAAAATTCGTAAATCTGGCAGGGCTGACTGTACTTTCGAAAGAAGTACGGTTGGTCAAATTACTAATACTGCCAGATTTGGCATTGCATGGCATCTGTTACTTTTCCTTTTGTATACTTTTAGGTCCCACTGTTTTCATTTAGAGAATTGCAGCAGTGGAATTCTGACAATTGCTACAGTAAATTTTCATCGCCAAAATTCTCTAAATGAAAAGCAGTGAGGCCTAAAAGTATATAACATGGAAAAGTAACAGACGCAATGTGAAACCAGTCAAATCTGGCAGTATGATGGGCATGTAAGTAGATGTGGCATGCTGTTCAAAATTAGCAATAGCGAATGTTGGAATCCGGCTGCTGGTCACCGTATATATAGCTGTTCTTGTTCTTTGTCCCCCAAAACAAAAAATTTCGTTCCAACGTCCCTGAACAGTTTTGAGTCGATAAACTTTCGAAGAATGTGTTCGATAAATAAAATGTTACCTAGCGCTTTTTGATGGCAATAGTACCTACTTCATAGAAACGTAGGTCTAATAAATAAGTATGTACATATTACTAAAATTACCTGTCCCAATGACATTGAGTTCTTCATAATTTAAGGAATCGCTGTCTCCGCTATGCGCCGTCGAGGACATTATCCAATTTTCTTTCCGCATCAAATCAACTGTAGTTCTATGTATATTCACAACTTTCACTTTCGTCTTTCCTTTTGTTTTTGTTTTTTTTTGTTTAATTATCACTTAATTTATGTTTGTGCATACGTATTTATTTACATATGTACGTTCATAGGCATGAAATTGCAATTACAAACATATATAGCGCTTCAATCCACGTACACATCAATTGCTTGCATATAGCATTATTTCAATACCATGACTAACATGTATTTACACTCTTCACTTGCTTGAATTTGTAAAAATTATGGAAATCATTACCGAAAATTTGTACGATTACAAAGTAGATTGTGCAATGGCAGAGTCATATATGTAATACATAATACATAATATGTAATAATATGTGCAGAGTGAACAAGGTCGAGAAAGCAATAAACAACGAGAAGCTCAAAAGCAGGTGGAGGGGAATCGGAAGCAGCGATGTGAGCGGAGCAGCAACAAAATCCACTCAACTGATAAGTTTACGTTTGGAAGACTAACGTACATACATATGTATATCATACATATGGACGTACATAATACGAATGTAGGTACAGATGTGAATTGATTAGAAGTTCAAATGGTTTTATACATCCAAATATTCATACATACACACATACAGTGGTGTAAGAAATAATAGAAACTTTTTATTTCGACCAATTTTGGTTACATTTCTTTTGATTATTCGATGTTTAATATTATATATTATATATTTACACCCGAGCGCACTTGTGCACAAGGGTATTATAACTTTGTTCACATAACTGTTGTTTGTAACAGGCAAAACGAAACGAGATAGATATAGACAAATACATACAAAAATGATCAGAATGAAAAAAGAAATCGATGAAGCTGTGACTGTCTGTCCGTCCATCCGTCTGTGCACACGATAACTCGAGTAAAAATTGCGATATCTTAACGAAATTTGGTAGGTGCACTTCTTTCGGGCGTAGGACGGATGGTATTGAAAATGGGCAAAATCGGACAATAACCTCGCCTACCTCTCATATAACCGTAATTTTCAGAAATACGAAAACTTCGATATTTTAGTAACTACTGAAGATTATTCACTCAAAATTGATATTTACAATAAGTTTGAGAAAAAAAATAAGAATATAATAAATTTTTTATGGTTATACATGTGTATATCTCGGTAACAGCTGCACCAATTTCTTCCGCACAGTTGTTGGCTTTGGTACAACATAACAACTGGCCGAAAATTTCTAAAATCAGACAATAACCACGCCCACATCCCATATAACGGTAATTTAGAGAAATACGAAA